AGATTGATAATGACCTTAATTGCCATCATAGAGCCTTCATCCAATAACTGATGGAAGCAGCTGCAAAGATCCATAGCTAAGTACTGTGCTGAACTCCTGTAGTCAAGTTGTAGAAAGGAGTCAAGACCATGCTGGGGAAACCCACAGAAACAGCTGACCTGAGCAAGTGGGAGCTCACAGACTCCACACTGACAGCTGAGGAACCAGCGTAAGAATGAACCAGGCCACCTGAACGTGGGTGTCAGTTGGGGGACTTAGGCAGTTTATGGGGTTGCTGGTAGTGTAACCAGTTTTTATCCCTAGTGCATGAACTGGCTTTTTGGAGCCCATTCCCTATGGAGGAATACCTTGCTCAGCCTAGATAGATACGGGGTGGGGACTGGGGCATTGGTCTTGCCCCAAATGATGTGACAGACTTTGATGATTCCCCATGGAAGGCCTCACCCTCTCTGAGGAGTAGATGAGGATGTGGTGGGGAAATGGTCAGGAGAATGAGAGGAAGGGAAGGAGAGGGAACTGGGATTTATATGTAACAGAAGATTGTTTTAAATATAATAAAAAATATAAACCAAAACAAAACAAGAATAAAGGTTTGTTTTGCGCTATGGAATAATTGAATCCATTATGGCAGGAAAGGTATAGCAACAGATGAAGAAGGCATAGTATCAGGGGCCTGAACCTAAATGATCACATTTTCAGCCACACACAGGAAGGGGAGGGGGACAAAGAGAGGGGGGAGAGAAGGAGGGAGAGAGGGGGAAAAGAAGGGGGGAAGAGACCAGAAAGAAATGAGAAGCAGTGTTAAGACTATAGACTGTAAATGCTCATTGCCTACCCCAGAGACTTTCTCCAGCAAGACTTCACTTCCCAAAGTTTCAATAACCTCCACAAATAGTACTCCGCAAACTGGGGGGGGGGGGGCATTTATCATTCAGTGTAAATACAAGAGGATCCTTGGGGCTTTCCTGTTAGTGTGTGTTGCTGAATCAGTGAGCACTCTAGAGCAATGCAAAAAGACATTTGGACACAAGAGCCACCATGCTCTTGGAAACACATGAGCAGATACATGTGTACACACATGCTCCCTGTAGACATGAATGACAGATCTGGAAACTCATTTAGATTAATGCAGGACAGGTGTTTACTTATCTTGGCTTCCTTCTTAAATGTTGTATGTGCTTTACCATTTGAGGCCAAGTAAAGCATGTGCCCTCTTCTCTACCTTGTGCATACTAGCTCTTAAATGTAACTGTTTACCAGTTCACTTTGTCAGGGCTTATCAGCCTTCATTCTCAACAGCATCCATGTCCAGCTGTCATGGCTATGACAGGGAAATTGGCAGGAGCAAATCCAATAGAAATAACAGATCTAACGAGAGTCAGAGCTATATCACAGTAGATTTCAGTTTGTCCAAGAAACTGAATATCCTGAACAATAAATGTGCATAGTATTTCTAGTAGTAAGTTGAAAGCTACCATGGGTGAAATCGCACTTCATGGAAGAGCCACAAGCCTTTGTGCTTGAGATTGTACTTCACCAGAAATGGAGACCTAAAACCACTCCCCTGTATCTGTTAAGAGCTGGTTCACAGTTTTTTTTTGTTTTTTTTTTTGTTTGTTTGTTTGTTTGTTTTGTTTTGTTTTTTAAAAAAAGAGTTTAGTCACCTTTTGGGTACCTTCCTGGAATGAACACTTTAGAGCTATCTTGTTTTCTCATCTATAAAATGGGGATGTAATAGTCAGAGGGAGATAGTGAAGAATAAATCAATTCATTTGTATGTAGTGTTCAGAACACAGCAGTGCAAATAAGAGTCGATAAATGTCTACTAATACTGGTTTACATTCCACCCTAAGAGATCTATCTGATGTTGAAACTGACAAATATCCATGGCAAAAACTGTGTTAATTTTATCCTTTGGCTATGGAATAAAAGCTGACACATATCTGTTGGAGACTAACTGAAAATTGGCCATTCGACATGATGTCTCTTGTGGAACAGTCTGTAAGTTGCTTTTTAAAAAATAAGTCCCAGTGGCACTTATATCTCACAAAAAAAAAAAAAATGAAGTGTTAAAAAAAAATAGCAGTCATTTTCTTTTGTATAATAAAATACCAACACAAGTACAAATTATAGATACAGACTATTATTTTTATAAGTGGGGACACAGAGTTTCCTAATGATCCCTTCAGGCTTTGGTCAATAATTCCCCATTTCTTTTGGGATAAGTTGACCTTTTATATATTGAGAATTGAAATTTTACTTTCATATGTAACTGCTGAGTTCAGTTTTGGAAGGACTACAAGGACAGCCTTTGCCAATGCTAATATTGTGAATGTGCTGTTTTCTGTTTGCTGTTGCAACAACACAAGTACCCAAATGGTAAACAGTTTGAGCTTTGTTTTCCTCGCACCTACTTAGCTCTGGCATTGCAGCATGAAAGCAGCCCTTGTCCACCTGCAAATAATGGAAATGGCTAGGTACCAGCAATACTCTTCTTAGGAAAAGAGACAGCAAGAGGATGCAGCTGTTCCAGGAACTGTAATTGGATGTTCTAGGGGTTTCTTTTTATCTCCTTGTTATAAGGGTAAAAGACAGGCAGGCACACACACTTGATGGGAGATGCCATTATGAATATATGGTTCTCATACTGGTTAATAATAAAGCACTGTTGGCCAATAGGAAAGGAAGATAGGAGGGACTAGGAGACAAGGAGGAAATAGGAAGTAGTAAGGCGGACTCAAGATGGAGAGTCTGGAGAGAGCTGGACGCCAGCCACCTCCCTGGTAAGAGAAGGCCATGTGAAAATACATAGATCAGCAGAAATGGGTTAATAATTAAAGGCAGAGCTAGCTGATAAGAAACAAGTAACCGGGCCAACAGTATTGTATCAAATACAGAGTCTCTGTGTATTATTTGGGGCTGGCGCGGTGGCAGGACAAGACCAGCGGTGGCGGGCGGAAAAACCTATACATCTTACACACACTGAAACACACGAACATGATATATACTCTAACACACATGTGAATGTGTTCTTATTGAAAGGTAAAGGCAATGTACAAGAAATAGCATTTTCAGACATTAAAGAGAAACATTGAATGTAAAGATAAAAGGGTGGTATTTTGTTTAACACTCATTTGCTAAATACTAGGGTACCCTTTTATCTGAACAGGGTCCTGAGGTTTGCTCTACCAATTTATTTTTGTTCTGAAACCAACGTAGAAGCTGGGAATGGTGGTGTACTCCTTTAACCCCAGCACTCTGGAGGCAGAGGTAGGCACTTCTTATTTGAGGCCAGCTCCCACATAGTGAGTTATAGGAAAGTCAGGCAGTCAGGGCTATGTAGAGAATGTCTGGGGGAAAAAAAAAACTAACCAAAACAAAACAAACAAAAGTTAAACCAACTAGAAATTTTCATTTACTTATGAATCAATTTGTAAGCGATCTTAAAATTGTTATTGTTACACATACTACTATGCATGAATATCTCATTCCAGGGATTCTATCATAAATTGATGAAAGATAGATAGAAAGATAGATAGATAATATTTAATGGATGATAGGTAAATTATAGTTGATAAATAGATAGAGATGATAGTAGATTGGTAGATAAATAATTGACAATAGATTAGATAATAGTTGATAGATAGTAGATACATGATAGATAGGTAGATAGTTGATAGATTAGATAACAGTTGATAGATAATAGTTGATAGATAATAGGTAGATGATAGATAGTAAAAAGATAGAAAGTAGATAGATGTGCAAAAATATTTGCTAAGATATTTGAACACAGCTTTTTGTCCTCTTAGTCAATCCAGATATGTTTCAAAAGGAACAAAGAGCTATGTGCAAGATTTCAACAATCAGTCTTGCTAAAATAATTATTGAATTATTACAAGGAATGGGAAAATCTACCATGTGTCTTTTGGGTTGTGGAACTTTATGGTTATTTAGATGTTAATTATTCACCATACTTTCTCTTACTGTGACCTTTAACATAATAGGCTAGGTATATATGTCAGTGGCAGAGCATTTGTCTGGCATGCCTAAGGATCTATCTTTGATATCTAGCATCAAAAAAACCAGTTGATCCATATCTTCTGTTTGAATTTCCCTATGGATTCTAACGACCTGTAGAGGCTTTTCATTTAGCTCTCTCCCTCTCCCTCTCTTTGTCTCTCTCTCTCTTTACGGTAGCATATCATTGTTCTTGAAAATAGGGTGTGTCTATTGGGATGAGCTCATGTCAGTCCTGGGGGAAATGCATAAATACATGGCTTTAGAAACTGTGTAAGAGCTGGATTTGACAGGGGGTTTAGACACTGTAGTTTTTTGTAGTCTTGCCACAGATGAGGGTGGCTGCACCTGGACAGCTAGTAAGGTAGAAAACAAGCCTGGTGCCTTCTAGCAACTCTGTTTATTTCCAGGAACCACTTCAATGGGACTATTCCATGTGACTCTCAGTGGCATTTTTCAGCAGAATTGTTAATCCAGAGTGACTTTTAGGTTTTGTAATGTCAAAGAGAATTTAGTACTCTATGGAGAAGATTTAATTTTTGCTAAAAATCCCTCTCCATAAAATCAATGCAGACTGGGCTAGAGGCCCAGTCTTTTTTTAAAGCTTGCTGGATATAATTAACAATTATGAATATATTATTTGGGAAGATTATACAATCTTCTGCTATTTATTAGCTGAGAATAATTTAAAAATTTCCTCTTCCTTGGATGCTATCCTTAAGAATCATTTAAGATGCCAAAAAGGTAGGTAAAGCATTCAGCAGTTTATATACTCACTGCTCTGTGTCAAGTGGCTGAGCCCGTACCCAGCAGGTCACAAACGCTAAGCAAATGAGGACTAGACCTTAGGAAATCCATCTATCTTGTAGTCTCATACTTACCGAAATTCAAAAGCGAAAGTTCTGAGTTGTTTTACGATGGTATGATTGGCATGCGAGAGTCAGAAATTAATTCATAAGTTTTCTCTGCATCGTTTTTAACAGAAAGAAGCCAGCATATCCCATCAGTCCTTTGAGAACACACGGACATCACTACTTCAAACTTCCTTGAGTAGGTAAGATTGTACTCTTGCTGCCGTAGAAAAGCGGCCTGCTATTGTGAAAAACACTTAACTTCTTTGCAAACCATAGTTTTTTTTTTTTAATTAAATGCCAATTTATTTTTAAGGAATAAATGCATTTTTGAATGTACTAGGCTGGAAATTATGAAACATCATTTCACACATACCTCTTCACAGCTGGGGGCCTCTGGCAGGGGTGGGGGTTGAGGGAGACTTGGTTTTCTTTAAGGAACAAACCACTGCGAGTCTGACCATGCTCCAGTGAGTATATGGGTACTACCAATTGGACTTGGTATTTTTTTTCTTTTCTTCATTTGTTTTGGGGGAAGTCACAAGGGTGGGAAGACTGGGAAGTGACCAGGGTGCATTATGTGAAATTTCCAAATAATCAATAAAAATATTATGTTAAAAAAAATCACTTCACAATTTTTAGATTGCCTCAAAATGGATCTTGCTTTGAAATGAGGATTGAACCAAGGCCCTCTCTTCTGCTATGGCTAACCATAACTATAATATTACCTCTTCACTTAACATGTGCTAGGCTTGTTTCCGTGTGACTTTGTGTAATTAAATGCATTTATTCCCCTACATCAGCTCTGTGAGGTTGGTAATAGATGATGTCCACTTTATAGATTAGGGTCCTGAGACAAAGGGACAGGGGGCAGAGCTAACGAAAACTGTGCATGTGGGAGAAGGAACCCCAGCCTTGGTGATGACCTGGGGATAGCTGCTAGAGGAAGAATTCTATAGAATTAGATTCTTCTGTGTTTACATTAATTCCATCTGGATTTATATAAGAAAAAAGCGACATTTACTGTAAATGCAGTCAAGGCACAGCAGGCACAATCTTATTGTATATGTGCACCTGTCACATATCCAATAATTGCATTGCAAATAAATGAGCACTTTAATTTGCAAATAGAAACTGTGTTTTCTTTTACTTTGCACCTTTTAACTAGAAATTTTATAGCAAAGGCAGAATAAAATTACTCAGAGATTGCAAAGAAGTGGTCTCTCGTTCCAGAAAATGAATTTTAGTTTTTGTTTTTTATTAAAGGTGTGGAATATACTATCTATAACTGGCCATGGCAATGTTCACTTTATTGCTTTCGTTATTGAGTTAAAAAAAAATGTATAGTGTTTTCACTGCAAAAGACTCAATGCATTATGGTAAATACCCAAGCATCTGCCACACAGACTAAACAGCCTCTCACGTATGTCTCTCTTAAACTCTTTTCTGAGTCAACATCATAGGAGGAAAAGAACTGTTTTGCTTTCTCCTCATGCCCCTGCTTTCTTCCCAGTGAGTATCAGAATTCCAAAGGTACATAGTGACTTCCGTGTGTTTTACTGTGTGGCAAACAAACGGAGCACAGTGACACCTTCCCAGTGTACAGGGCGGCCGTCACTACAGATGTTCCTTCACTCACTGTTGTATTTAGCTACACCCACGGTGGCACAGGAGATTGGTTTGGCTCGGTCCGGCTGTTACCATGGCTACTGACTTACATTAATCTCTGGTGCTTATTATGGCCTCTAAATATCACACAGCACTTTAAAGATTCTATACTACCATGACTTCAGCATGTCTCATAAAACCTACTTGTAATTTGTGACCAAAGGAAGCTGACTGTCTCTGAATATGATACTATGCCAAACCTTTTTATATTTTTTTTTTCCTAGATGGAAACACATCTTTTAATTGGCATGTAAGGATTTTACTAATCTATTGAGACCCGTGATTATCACCATGTTCTGCTATAATATGATAATCAGCATAGATTTTGTTTCACCATAGATGAAATTCTTGCTATTCCCAAACATAATATAAATACTACATATGAAATTTCAGATACTTAAAAGAAAAATACGTTTTGGGAGGTCCATGTTAATTACTTGTAATCCCTTGAAAATCATGCAAGGAGTTTTAGTAAAGATCCTTTTCAAATTATTGTCTAAATCTACAGCTAATTCTAGAATATGCTGACATGTATATGGAAGTCTTTATGAGCATCTTTTTGTGTATATTGGGGCTATTGTCAAAACATCAAGAAGAGACAGTGTCTAAACTGATTAAATATTATCTAGGAAAACATGAACATTCATCCAGTGTTTCTGCAAAAGTGACTATTTTATGCAAGTGGTTCTACCTGGGTATGTTCTCTGATAACCATGAGATCACCATAGATATCACTAACTCTACCAAGAGGATTATACAGAATGGATAATCACTGTGGAAATGTTCAATAAAGAGCATCCTTTGAATTGTTTGTTAATGTTGATAATTGCTGTATTATGTAAAATTCGAAACTGAATCTTTCCAGCCTAACATGTGCAATTTCCAGTGTGAAGGTAGATCTTTGTCCCTGATCACTGTGAAATCAGCATCTCTTTTCACACAAAGCCCACTAGGTACTACAGTGCACTGTTAATCATTCTGAAAATAAGTTTGCCTCTCGTGTCTACCACCTGCTAGAGCCGTATGACCTGACCTCTTTAAGCTCCATGGGAGCTCATTACAGTCCAAACTATTACCATTTCATTATCTTTATCTGTATAATTAAAAGTAGTCAGTCTTGCATTCCCTTAACCCGTTGTCTACATAGAAAAAGTCAGTACGTACTTCTTGATTGGTAGGACTTCTTGTTCCAAATATACTAGTGGTCATCTGTATAGAATGAATCCACATTTCTACAATGGCCAACAAGGTGGTATAGGATTGTCATCCTCTGCACCCCCCAACATCATTTCAACATTGTCTCCTCCCTCTGATGGAAGAAACTATACCATGTTCTGGGCTGTGTCACTATCACCTAGGCCACCACCTCCCAAGTGAGCCTTCACTTGTTGAAGGGATGACTGAATATACAAGAGTTCTTGGGAAACATGGCAGGTAGGTGCTTTGCCCACAGAATACCCACAATGCACATCAACAATGGTTGGTATCTATTAATGCATTCCTTTATGTGTCTTAGCAGAACCTATTACTTTTCAGTGCTCAAGCACTTTCCTGGTTTCAAGACATAATTTTTATGATTTTATAGTATTGTGATAAAACCTTGTTGCTGACTTTGTCATCCCAAATCTTAATTTATGTTACAAAAGTTCCAAATTACATACACAAGTTAGGAATAAGCTAGCTAGATGGACATGAGGAAAATATTTCAGAGTAAAAAATATGTATTATTCTTGAAGTATTTTATCTAAATATTCTAATCTGCACCAACTCAACATAGATTATGCATTCCTTCAGAACATTTATATTTTTCTTCATTCATAGCTGAAGGGAACTCATCTTTTAAGAATTGTTTTGTATAAAAGGTTGATGCTTTTAGTTTTACAAGTAGGAGCTGCAGTTGATGACTATTTATATTGTCGAGAACACTTGGCAACAGAAAGACAAACAGTAGGGCCACAATGAGCCAACAATTAACAAACAGAGAATGAAAACCTGGCATTTTTGCCATCTCCTCTGAAAATAAGTCCCTTGACTTGCACTGATCACTACCTCACAAGGATTGTTCACACATTCTACAGAGACAGTTTTCAAGGCAGATTATGCATTCAAAAAATAACTTTGATTGGTAACTTTAGGATGTCTGATGGTATTTTTCTATACAGTGAACTGCTAATCACACCTGGTGCCCAGGTCTTCTGGTTCTTATTGATCAAGCGCTAAGCCTGGGTGAGGTTTTAAAGAGGGATCTCTACTTAGTTATCTGGGACAGGGAATAGGACAGTTGCCCACATCCTCTGGCAGGAGTTAAAATAACAATGACAGTCCTCCTACTTAGCAGGCTGAGTCACAAGCACATTCTTCTGCTTCCTCAGCAGTCCTAAGCAGATTGTTTGGGCTGGAGTTCTGGAGGCAGAGGTGGGCACCACCTGCTTTAAAAAGACTGCTGCGATTAAGGATTGTCTTTTAACAGTTTGGCCAAATAGAAATAGGAAAAGAAAACATCTGTTACTGACAAGCACATAGTCAAATGTTTGAATAAATGAATAGTGGTCAGAGATAGCTGAGAAGGTTCATTTGAGTGTGCATGCTTGCCACTATACACAGAACCAACAGGGTGGGGACAGAAAACCAACTATTACAAGGTGTCTACTTACTTCCACACATACAATGAAGCACTCATGTGTACGCACACACACAAACAAATGAAGGAATAAATCACTAAAAGCAATGGTGGTCTGGTCATACTTATCATTCAATAAATTATTGTGTTGGCTTTCAGGATAAGTCATTTGAAAAGGAAAACTAGTTGTAAGTTTGACAGTTCAGTACTGCTGAATGTTTGTACTAAGACATTTGCTGTTCAGTAGTGTTAACCTTATCTCAGCCAATGTAGATCCTAGGTTGTAACGAACAGGAATATAGTTTTTGTTTAAGTGCAAAGATTTTTTGTTATACAGCCTTTTATTAGAACATTTTTTGTTACAGAGCAGAGTACCTTACAAAGAAATGAGTTTATTTTGGTTCATCCTTCTGGCCTAAGGTCTAGGCCACCATCTGGCAGAATCACAAGACAATGTTGTCATTACATGGGAGAGAAGACAACACATGTATGTATCATCTGGTCTCTCTCCCATGTCACACAAAACAACTAGTAATTCAGTTAAGGGGTCTCTGCCTATATAACCTTATCTAATTTAACTAATCCCATTGCTGAAACTTTGAAGAATTTAAATCCTTTTCTCAAAACCTCACAATGGGATAAAATTTCAATGTATGAACCCCTGGAAGACACAATCTGCATCTAACCCATAGCATGCTTCATAATCCAGGGGCAGGAACAGATATGGACATCATGAATATCTAGGCAGAAAATGAATATGAGTCAAGACCACAGTTCTCTCTGGAGTCCTCTTTTTTTCTCAATTTGTGTCCACATCAGCATGCCATGCACCTCCATGTTCAACACATAATGGTGACAAAAATCTTTGTAGGAAATGAAGTCTGTAGCTAGCAGTGAAGGTAAGAATAGATTTGAGGCTGAGGATGTATATCCTTACTGAAAAATGTTGGGACTACAGAGCTAT